GGGGGGGGGCATCCGATGTACAAGTCAGTATTATGTACACAAACTGGTATCAGTTCACCGTCTCCAGAACGTAGAAGGGTTGGATGGATTAGGCGGGAGCCGGGTTTGGTCCCACCCCCAGACACACGTGTGGTAAGCGTGCTACTTGCCTTTGCATCACCACAAAATTTGAAGATAAAAGCAGACCGTTTGACGGACCAGAAAATAGATGTCTGCAGCAGCATAGAACATCTCACTCTCCTCTCTAAGAGGTCAGGACTGGAATATCACAACCAGGCTCCACAGAAAACGTCACCGCAGCTAGTTTTCCAGACCTTTCATTAGCAATGTACGGGATCGAGATCGGAGAAATAGCTAGTTCAGCAACCACTGCAAAGTTTTTCCGGTAAAACGTCCCCTCCCCCTCTTCACCCATCCCACCTCCCATCTTCCCCAGTCCTTGTTCCTGAATTTACAAGATAAAGGATGAAGCTTTCATCGCTGACCAGTGGGGTAGAAGGATTGCTAGGCCGTGGCGGGAGCCGATTTAGGATCTGCCCCCCCCCCTCCCCTCCTCCCGACAGCGTGCATGAGCGTGCCAATCGCCATTACACCACCTTTCCCCTTGAGAAGCAACTACCATCTACAAGCTCATGTTTGGGTGCATTCGCGGTACAACTTTTCAGGTCAAGCCCATTTCTGATACCTGTTCCAAATAACATCTAGTGAAAAATGAATTAGAATATCACCTCCAGACTGAGAAAATCACTGTCACTGTCAGCGCACCGAAGATAGCTGCGTAAGTAGCTGTGAACAAGCCTGGATCAAACATCGAGCTATATTTTTGAATGACGTTCAAGAAGATCCCTGAAAACTCTCATTGTTATTTGCATGATTTTTAGAAGACTCTGTAATCAGAAACGATGGAAACAGTCAATTGACGTTAAAACAGATAACAGAAAAGATACGGAAAGAAGGCGACAACAGCTCACCTGGTACAATTATATCTATTGCTGCGAGACTCTGCTTATTACCTCGATGATCTCTAGGAAGCATTATGAATAATGGTGCACGGCTTTCTTGTACAACAAAAGCTGAAAGATTAACGGTCAGCACGTGGAAACTTCAAGAATCAGATTTACAGTTTTATGTTGTAGCACAAGCACATAACAAGTAATCCATCCCAGAATGCTTCACAAACTGATCCACTTTTACTAGTTGGCTCAAGTTCACCAAGTGCAGCACTTGCGTCGATACCGAGGTCCTTAACACGCACTTAACGGTAGAGAACAATCAAAGTGAAACAGCTCAGACAACTAGCGCGTTCTGCTATGGCCCGGTGCCCCGCTGGCCGCATGGCAGCGCTGGCGGAAAATGGAGACGTCTTCGTGAGACCGCTACCCTCCAGGCCCATTTCAAAGCATATCTGACCGTGAAAAGTGGCATGCGGCTGCAGCTGCGACACCATTTTACCCACCCTTCAAAGACCAGAATCCATGGAGGGTAATGTGCAGTGTTCTTTGTTCTTTGTGTGGACTAGCATTGCCTCTAAAGCCCCAAACTGCCACAATCCCATGTGAACAACATTCAAATCCAACCCAATATCTTATGGACTGTTCCACGTAGAGCAAAATATATGCAAAAAATATCCACGGGAGCGAAAAATTCACGCTGACTTCCCAAATTTTCTAATTTAGATTACGTCAAACAAGTTCAGCATTCAAAAATCAACACAGAAACAATACAAACTTACTTATCAAGTCAACAACATAGAGCCAGAAAACGTCGAAGATAGCCATTCCTACTAGAAGAATACAGGCTGCTTGATAACTGACAGCCTATAAATGGAGCAGGATAGGGCATAAGGGTTCACCTTTGTAAAATCGTAAATGAGATAGGACTGTGAAAAAAACGGTTTCAAGGACGTTAGGTCACTGAAGCTCCTAAAGAAGGCTTTGAAGTGCAAAACTCAGACTATGGTCGCAACGGATTCTTCAAGCCCTCTTATACTACGTTCAACAACTGATGGATACTATGTAAGGGCACTAAATGTTCAGTAAATGGGTTCAAAATATTCCAAATTGACCAAAAAAATTCCTTAAGTGTTTCAGAGCGCCTTCGCCAACCAGCCAAAAATACTCAAGCCAATGCAGTATATGTAAATACATACAGGATGATCCGGTAATATGGTAACAAAGTAACTGTTGCATAAAACCACTGAATCGAGCTGGACCGCGATAGCACTTCAGGAGCTGTTTATGGTCCTGACAACAGAACTAGAGTCGCCAGATTTGGCAACCTCCAGTACGAAACCTCTGAACGGCCTTCAGCAGCAAGCACTGATGCTATCAAAAAAATGCTGAGATGGTCAAAAGTCAGTTCCCAGGCGGGATCGACTGGATGATTACGGCGACCTGCTCACCATGTTAAACGTGTGAGTGCTGTAAGGCTACGGCATAAAAGCCGTTGAGCTGAGAGGGCAAGATGGGTCCCTGGTGGCGTAACTATTGCCACTTGCCCGGAAAGCGCGAGATGTGGGCTCGACTCCCGCCCGGGAGCCGACTTTTGCCCTCACTCAGCATTCCTGTGATAAGTTTCGGAACGCGAACTGTGGTGAAAACAGCAGTTGTCACAACAAAACAATTCCAAAAGCTAATCTTTGCAAAACTTCGTCTCAGGTCTTCTCTTGCCGAGAGGCACGAGAAAATTCAGGACTTTTGGCTAATTTTGAGTAATTTACGTTCTTCTGAGTAAACATGGTGCCTCTCGGTGGAGTATAATATTTAGGTATTGACGCACTGGTTCTGGGACAGCACAAGATTAAGAAGTGAAATAAGCTCTGAAAAATACCTGAACTCGCGAGCACACAATGTAGATCGACGAGAAAGCCAATATATCGTTCGTGAACCATCCACCGTAGAATTCATGAAACAATCCAAAGATGATCGAGAATGTTAATGCCGAATAAACCATCGCTTCCTCATGGTAGTAGAAGTAGTACGCTGGAAATTACAGAAATAAGGTAGACTAACAAAGCAAAAGTGAATTGGAGCTTACTGCAATACTATAAATAAGTATAACTATAAACACGAGACAGAGAAGCGCGTCTTACGTCACAGTTCTTTCCTCGCTAATTTGCCTTCGAATGGATGAACCAATCTCTCCATGCAAAAATGAAGTAGTATCACCCAGTCACTTTCCCACCCAGTAAACAGCGCTTCACCCACGCCGAACTCTTTATACGTCCATAAATGTTGGCGCAATACGTGCCGTCTTAAGCCTTACACTTGTGCACACTGCAGATGTTGTGGCATGGCCGGCGGTATGAACTGGCGCGGCGCCAACCCGTTTTTCACTAGCTGCTGAAGCAAGCAAGCGACAAAACTGTACCCTATCAATGTTTTCCACCGACTGTTGTCCCTTACCCGCTTGAACAACCGGTAGGAAACGGGTTTGGTGCCCGCGTCAAACTCATCCAGCTAGCCACGTCCAATCGTTCGCAGCGAACACGACTGTAACGGTTTCGACTGCAGACATATATTGGACCAGAGCCTGCATATGCTTTTAAGACATATGTTTGAAGGAAAGTGTAAGCTCTGAAAATGTTTCAAAAGTAGAGCTTTCGCATTTGCCTCTTCCACGTCTCCCCCCCCCTGTCATATTAGTTCCTTATGATTCTCTCATATATTCATAAATCTTTCAAAGCTCTCTTCCGAAAAATTTCCAGGGAGGACGAACAAATGAAGCCACACTGAAGGAACGTAGTATGTTTGGGAATCTCCACAAGGAGTGATGGTGGTCGTATTTGGTTGCTGGAGAAAAGGCGGCCGCAGTTTGCCCGAGAATATTTGTGATGGTTGAATCTTCCTTTTTCACACGAGCTATCCAAATTGCTGGGAGACTCCCACTGGGGTGAGGACGTCGCTTTGAGAGGGAGCTGTCACCCAACAGAAAATTTGGAACAATTTCGCGAAAATTCCGAAGAAATTTCCCCCAGCGATGGACGGGCCCTAAGAATTATAAAACTCATGAAACCTTGAACCGAACTATAACTTCATAACTTCACTCACCGAAGTGCACGCCAAACAGCTCCAATAGCACTATGTAGAAAGCTGCTACACATGCCCAAATTGGCAAGTGAACAGAGAAGAATTCGGACCAAATGTCAGAGAAACTGCAACATAAGACTGTAATTTTGCAGTAAGAATCACGAGTAATAGGAAAACACTAACTTTAGCTTGAGCACTGGTAAGCCAGGCCTATTCTTTGGCAACAAATTCAGAGCGCTCAGAGAGTAAGTGAAGAAATTTGTCTGGAAATGAAAAAGAGAGAAATTTTCAGCACAAAGCAAACTGCATCTCACGAAGCTTACCTGCCCGATTTGCTGATAAATAGCATTTCTTTCCCGCTCACTGTCGTCTTCTTCTGGTTCATCAGCACCAGCGTAAATTCGTGCAACACTTCCCGATACCGACGACCTGCGGCTTGTACCGCGCGAATCACCAACCGACACCAGACCAGTATATGGCACAGAAACTAACATAAACGTATCAGGTGAGGGTAAAAACAGAAAACTGAAGGATTCAGGGGATGGATAATAGTGGTGAAACGTACAATACTGCGAACGGCCACTGCTGTGAGAGGTACTGCTTGAAGACAAACTGTACACTAACCTCCACAAGGGACTCTTTCGTGCGCGAGGTAAGTGGGTCAAAAGTGTTTAGGAACGGGTCAGAGGGTACTGATAACCCTGATACGTGTGAGATTCCGCCCGCTCAGTATGGAGACGGTGCCACGTATCACTACCCTACAGCCCCGTTCCCGTGCACTTTTGACCTAAAAAATGGCAAGGAGATAGTTTTTGTTTGATAACTGCTGTTTTACGCCGCAGTGCGCGATATGCAAGGAGATAATTCACAAAGGTGAGAGTACAGCATGTCTTCCGTCTCTGAAGAGGAAAAGTTTTGAGTAAACCAGATCATTCAGAGTTCCGAGCCTTATAAACTTGCCGTCCAAATTCAAAAGTAGATAGCCTCCTGGTATTCGGAAGTTTCAAGGAATTAAAGGTTCATTTTACGACACAGGAATGGATAGATAGAAAGATTTAAATATGATGCGGCTGTGAGGGCTGAAGAAAAATAAAGCACGTTCATGAAGCCCCCCCCCCCATGCTACTCACTCTACGAAATTACGACAAATGTCATGGGCCCTTGGCCAAGGGACCGGAAGAGAGAAGACGACAGACAACAACTAGGCACCCATCAGGATCACCCAAGGACTAGAGACCTACGATAAGAGAGCACTGATCCGGTCACAAAGATCTTCACCGCCTTTGTTTCTCGGTTCTAACCTACAAGACCTCCGCCATTGCGTGCTGGTCTATCTCAAACAAGTAAAGGATTGTTTCATCAGCAACTCCTGGAATGTCTTTGAACGAAACCAAAAGCGGAGAATACAGCGGAAGTCGAGAACACAGAAACGAAGCAAAAAGCAAAATTTCAAGTTTCAAAATTTACCCGAATCCAGGGAAAACAGCCGCTCTCTGTGAGGTTTCTCTAAAACATTGATCTATCATAAAGAAATCACTTCTGATGCATTTTACCATAAGCAATACTTCACAACAGTGTCCAACAGAATATTTAAGGCTTAGTTCAAATACTGTGTTTATGCTGAAACGGCGAATGCTCGTAAAAGGCAAACTGTTCACTCCCATCCGAAGAAGGTCGTTGCCTTGTATGAGATAAATGGGTCCGCACCTGCAGTAACGAGCTACTTTCTCCGTTCAGAAGTGCACAGGAACGGGGCTGGGAGTGATAGCCGTGTGCCAACTCCATAATCTACCTCAAATTGCAGCACGCGTCAATGATCCCGCAGCGGAGCACACACTCAATGGTAGAGGGCAAAGACAACTAGCGCGTCTGGCTGTTATTAGGCGTGTGGCTGGCCGCAGCGGAGGCAGAGCACAGAGGAGTCCGGATATCAGTTCGGAAGCCCGCCACCATGTAATTTCCGAGCGGAGAAAGTGGCACCAGCTGAGCTGCGGACACATTCATCTCACTCATGACGACGATCCAGTGAATGTACATCTTTAAAGACTCAAGCTTTGCCGATTGCAACAAAACGCAATATGTGGACATAGCCTAAGACCGACCACAAACAATGATGAAATAAAACAGAAACTATTACTAACGTCCACTAATCTTCCGACAATGTTCCGCTTCTGTAGAGCTTCGTGACCGGAATACTGGCTTTGGAGCTAGTTGTGATAGACGCCATGCATTATCTAGAACAGAAAACAACGAAATTACGAACAAGTGGCCTAAAGGCCTTCGGCACGTTGCTGCACACTGATGGTTGTCACCAGTATCATTGGTGGAAGAGTGAAATGTGGTCGAACGCCTTCTCGCAGTCTAGCCACCAATGACGGTGGCAACAATCGTCCGCCCTCAGCAACTGTGCCGTTTGCTTTCATTACAATAACGATGTCCACACACTGCACGCGGAACCGAACCAAGGTTTAACAGAAACTAGAAGATGTCCACCAAAGATCATGCGAACACATGCATGCACATGCAAGGCAACACAAGCCAAGGCCACAACTCCATTATTCCATCGATATTAGCTTGGCCCTGATCATGAACCAAGTCTGGCCCGGAGGCATCTGGCGAAAATCGAAAATTCCCCGGCCCCTACCGCCTCCAAAACCCGCGAGAAACATGGCTGTCGAGACTTCACACCCTCCACTTGGTGAACCAAGGATGACAGCCATTAGCTGGATTCTCACAGCTTCTTAACCTACGTCGCTTGGGCCCACATTCATGTTGACGTGACCGTGAGGCATGCAAAAACCTCACTCATAGAAGGCTTAATAAGCCTAGGCATAACAGCCATAAAACTAAGAGTGTTAGAGCGGCCCCTGCTGGCGTAACGAACAGCAGCCCACTTAATCGGAAAGCGTGTGGTGCGGGTTCGAGTCCCGCCTGGGGGTCAAGACTTTTGCCCATAACCGCATTATTGTGA